TTCTAAATATTCTTCAAATGTTTTTGAATAAATTATTATATTATTCAGGTATACCATTACTCCATTATTTATTATTCCATTTAAGACAGTGTTCATTAATCTTTGAAAAGTGGTTGGTACATTAGTTAATTCAAAAAGCATTATTGTGAATTCATATATTCCTTGTTTTGTAACAAATACTATTTTTTGTTAATATTTGGATTTTATTTCTACTTGCCAATAACCACTTGCTAAATCCAAAGTAGTAAACCATTATACTTCTTCTAATGTTTTTAACATATTATCTATTTGTGATATAGGGTGAGCATCCTTTTTAGTTACACTATTTAGTTTTCTATAATCTATACAAAATCTAAGTTTTCCATTCTTTTTCTTTACTAGTATTACTGATGAAGTCCAAGGACTATATGATTTTTTTGTAATTTCATCTTTTAATAATTGTTATATTTCTTCCTTAATATATTTTTGGTTTGCATGGTTTGTCTTATAATATTGTTGTTTAATTGGTTTAATATTTTCTTTTATTTCTATTCCATATTTAATAATATTAGTTCTTCCTAATTGATATATTTCTTTTGCAAATATTTCTTCATATTGTTTTATTAGTTTGTTGAAATTCTCTTTTTGTTCTTGTTTTAATTCTTTTACTTTGAACTCTTTAAGTTTTACTATATATTTAGTTGATGACAATTTCCTTATCTCTAGTCTCTCTTCTAAATTACTTTTTTCATAATCTATCTTATCCAAGTGAGGTTAATCTTGTTTTAGTTTATAATTTTCTTGAAAAAGAACTTGTTCTTCCTCATTATCACTTTCATAATCATCATTACTTTTATAATTATCTTCTGTTTATTTATATGTTGTTATAGTTTTGATACTTTAGTTTTTTCAGTTAAAGGTTAACTCTTGATTTTTTCAATTATAACTAGCTCCTACTTTCATTATCCAATTATTACCTAATAATATATGGTATGTTTTAGTTTTCATTACTTCCATATTAATTGATATTGTTTTTCCTTCAATTTCAATAGGGAAATCTCTAATTCTTCTCATAGATTCATTCTTTTCTCTATTTTCTGATATAATTTTACAATTAGTTACTTTTTCTATATTATACTGTAATTGTTCCATTGTATTTTCTGAAATTATACTAGTAACTATTTCACTATCAATAGTAACAGGTACTCTAAATCTATTAACTATTATTTCACATTTTAAGATGGTTGTTTTTGTATTATCATTTTGTCTTACTAATTTTGTAACAGGTTCTTTTGATATTCTTAATGCTTTTTTCTTTCCTGAAAACTAATTTTTAATAATTGTGATAATGTAATTTTTAATTTTTGTTCTTGCAATTTCTTTATTAAATTAAATTCAGATCCTTTTAATAATTCTAATTGTTTTCTTTTTTTAAATAGTTTTTCAGAGGATTTTGTTAACTTTTTTTTATTTGGTATCTATTCCATTAGTTTTGGTTCTAAGTTTTTGTTCTCTTTTTTCTTTCTTTTCAAATTATTTCTATAGTTATAAATCAATTCTGGTTTTGCAGATTCTTTTCTTTTATTTACTTTTAAATTTTCAAAACTGTCAAAGTTTTCATTCAATAGTGTCATAATTTCTTCTGTTTCCTCATCAATATTATACTCATCAACTTTTTCAATACTTATAAAATTAGTAAGGGTGTGATTTCAAATATCATTATTTTGATTTTGATTCCTGTTATTGTATTGATTTCTATTGTTGTTTCTTCTTCCATTTTCATTTTAATTTGTTCTGTTTCCTTATTGATTGTTACTATTCATATTATTATTTTGATAATTATTTCTGTTAAAATTATTATTACCATTGTGATATCCATAATTATTATTGAAATTTCTTCCTAAGCTTTTGCAGTCTTTTCTGAAATAACCTTTTCTTCTACAATTGTAGCATTCAATATTATTATTTTGAGATTCTTTAATCTTTTCTATTTTAATTTTCAATTCTTTAAATTGTTTTACTAATTGTTCCATAAGATCTTCTTTTGGTTCTTCTTTCTTTTTAGTAGTTTTCTTTACAGGTGTTTCTTCATTACTAGAAGATTCCTCTTCAAAGATTATTTTCTTCTTCTTTTTGTTAATTATTCTTTTATACTTTATCTCATTTCCAGATTCTATTTCTTTTTCTAAATTTTTAGCTACTTTATACTTTTGAATTAATTTCACTAATCCCTTTATATTATCTGGTTTATATATACTTGCTATTGGGAATAATTCTTTTCTCAATCCTCTAGTAAAGTAAAGCATTTTTTGTTCTTCTCCCATTTCTTCTATCTTTCTTATAACCTTTTTGAATCTTGTATAATATCTTTCGATTACTTTTCCAGGTTGTTGTTTTAATTTTTCTAATTGATTTCTCCATTTATTTTTCCATCTCTGATTGCAAAAGGTTTCTCTAAAAGATATTTTTAATTTTTCCAAGGTGAAATAATAATTATCATCTCCTCCTTGTACATATGTTTCTTGATACCATTCTTTAGTTCCTTCCTCTAAGAATCTATACATTTTTTCTCTCATTCTATCATCATTCCATTAATTAATAATTGCTACTTTATCAAATTCTTTCAACCATTTTTCAGGATCTTGAGTTTTATTTCCAATAAATCTTTGAAATTTAAATGATAAAAAATCCATTTTTCTTGTATTGTTATCTAATTCTTCTTGTTCTCTATCCTCTTCTTCTTCACTCGCAGTATTATCTTCAAGATCAAATATATTGTAGTTTTTCTAATTATTTTCTTTTATTAAATCCTTCAGGTTTTGTTGTTCTATTTCATCATCTTCTTCTGTTATTATCTTTAACTGTTGTTTGAAACTATTACTTCTTGATCTTGTTACTTTCCTCAATCCTTTAGTTATTTCTTCTTGAATATTTACTATTTCTCTTCTTAATTCTTCAAATTCTTTTTTACTTATCTCTAAACTTTGGTATGATTCTTCAGGAAAGTTTTCTTTAGTTGTTTCATAACTTGAATTAACAAAAAAAAATATTGGTGAGGTAGTTTGAGAACTTTTTTTTCTCTGTATATTCCAATTAATATTTTCTAATTCTTGGTTAATATTAGATGTGATATTTCTTTTCTGTATAGTTGATATTTCTTTCTGTATACCAGTTTTTATTATTTTTATTTTTATTTTTAACTTTTTTGAAAAATACTTTGTTATTTTGCTGTCTCTTTTATAAGTTTTTTTTTGTTGATCTTTTTGTGATTATTTGAAAAATTTCTTATTTGTCACATCCTTATGAAGGTAACTAATTTTTTAGTATGAATTAATTTTTAAAATATTTTTAAGTTGAGTATACTGTGTCACACACTATTAGGTATTAACAGTGACAGTTTACCTTTTCAATAGCCATGTACTATAACTTTCAAAATATTGACAGCATCCTCTTTAATTGTTTTCAGGTACGAGGTGATCAAGTTCAGTTTATCTATACTAACAATTACTTCGCTAGAGATTTTGTACTTGACTTCTAATTAGAGGTATAAGTATTTAAAGTCCAGTTAGAAGTTTTGCACTTAGTGACTTCTAATAATTTCTATATTTAATTAAATATTTCTTGACAGTAGTAATGGAGTGAATCTTGAAGACTTGTCAGTTTTATTCAATTCGATATTTTTGTCAATTCTTTTTTATTTCAATTTAACAGAGTTTCCCTTATATTTTCAACATTTATTTCTGAATTATCATCTTAACAGTAATACATTTTCTACAGTTTCATTTATTCTTTCTAATAGTTTTATTACTTATTTTCACATCTGTTCTTCTTGTAATAATTAAGATCCCTTTTCACTAGAAAGTATCAAATTATCACTGGTGGTCTCCAGTTCTCTTGAAGCTAACCAGTAAAGTGACTTAATGGTTTTTTTAAAAAGTTTAAAGTCCTTTTCCAAAGGTAAAACTGTTATTCAGTTGTTTTAGAAGGTACCACTGATTCAATTATTTTAGAAAGGAAATCAGACCTTTCATATAATGTATTCCAATATCTTTTCAAGTTCATCATTATCCTTAGTGTTAATATCCATTCATTAATCATCTTTTAATTTCATCAACTTTGAATATTATCTTCAATTATTCAGATTAATTATTATTCCAAGTCCAGGGTTTATAATAATAGTTTATAATTAATTTCATTAACTCAAGAATAATAATATTATACAATTATACAACCAAGTATTTAATCCCATAATATCTATTATTCCTTTGTTAATTATATATTTTATCATTTAATATAACTTTTATTTAATAATTCCAATATTTATTATTTTATTAATTCGATTGCAGGATAATTTTACAAGTATTTATCTTGGAGTTACAAATTACAAAATTAAATTTATCAATTTCAAATAAGTTACAAATTATTAAAATTCAAAATTATAAAATTATAAACTAAAGAAGAACAAAATAATTTCAGTTCCTTAATCTAATAATTTTCATTACTGTGCCTACTGTGTTTTACTGTATACTACTATTATTGATTATTATTCTTTTATATTATTTACTAAATATATCTAATACTAATTAATACTATATGTTATTAATTATTGTTAAAATATGTTAAATGATGATAATTAATATTATGAATTGATAGTTATGTTTGTGTAACTAAATATCACGTGGACACGTGATCTTGTACTACTATTTCGCGACTAATTAATGTATATTACAGGTTATAAAAATTATTAAAGTTACATAAGTTAATATTTACTAATTAAATTTTAAATACTACTATTTTCTAAAGTTATTATTAATTATCTGTAGGTTTTTCTAGTGTTGTATATTATACTTTTCATGATAATTTCATTCTGTAACAGTGTTAGCCTTAAATGATCTGATATATTTAATCTTTCCTTTACCAATCTTCACAAATAATTTATACATTACTCTAGCCTTCTGGATTTTCTTTCACAAATTCACCAGTGTAATATTTGAAAAGTGATTTTTGACCTTGTCATATACCTGACTCATAGCCTGTTGTCTATTAAGTCTATGATCATTTTCCATAATTTCCTTTACTCTGTCTTCACACCCTTTAGTGTAATAATACCAGCACAAGATTTCTTCTTGATCTACTTTTATGACTTTTAATCTAGCCTTCATTACTTTTTGATATAATTGAACTAAACTGTGCAAAATCAAACCCTCTATTCCTTCATCATCATTGATTTCGGTAGGCTCTCCTTTGATAGGTGTAGATAACTCTTGCAATAATTCCTGAAATTTATCCTGCTCATGAATAACTCTTGGAGATACTTGATGAGATGTGCATGTTTATGAATTGGTAGTATCATTCCCTTAACCTGCAAATTGATCCTGCATAATGGTATCATTCATATCAGTTTTATCAGTTAAATTGACTTGTACTAAGTTACCTTTTTCATTGCTAATAGGACTTGTAGCTAGAACAGAGTCATTTCCACAAACCCCATTTCTCATAATCAACTCTAAATTCTCTTCATTGCATATAGTTATATTGGATTGTTGTGACACCTTTTCTTTATCATGATTTTTGGTACTATATGACATTTATCAGAAGCTAGGATAAATTCTTTATTAATTTCAATTGCTGTAGGGCAAATTGGACATGAAGGTCTTTCTTCTTTTTGCATAATATAGGTTTCAAGGCACATTCGATGGAGCAGATCTAAATTTAAAAAGTAGATATGATAATAAATTTTTTTTTTTAAAATCCAACAGAGTCTTGTCCAATAAACTTTTATTAATATATTAGATGTGATATGATAATAAATAATAGATATCATAATGGAAGTTTGGTTACCATTAACAACTGCTTCAGAATTGCTAGTTTCAAATCTCGGATGCACCAAGAACAAAAGAGGTGTGATATTTAGGCTAAATCCTTGTAAAAGGAAAGGTTATATACGAATTGAGCTTAAAGTTAATTGTGTTAAAAAGAGTATTGCAGTTCATATTTTGGTTGCGCAAACATTCATCCCTAATCCAGAGAACAAGCCTTTCATTAACCATAAAAATGGAATCAGACATGATAATCGAGTTGTTAATTTGGAATGGATAACTCCTAAAGAGAATACTGAACATATGGTATTTCGAAATCCTAATCGTAGTAGTTCTAGAAAAATTGCAAATGACTTTGGACAGAAATATTATTCAGATTTGGGATTCTATCACTCTTGCATCAAAAACTCTTAAGATTTCAGGAACTCATATTTTGTCACGTTGTAGCAGAAAGCTGAATACTTCTGGAAGGTGGCATTGGCTGTATTATGAAGATTATATAGAACAAGATTACAATGAAGAATGGAAAGAAATAAAGCTTAATTCCCAAAAATTCAGAGTTTCATCCTTAGGGAGGGTTCAGTTTCCGAATTGCTTAATATCTCGAGGATCCCTGGATGCAGGATATCTTAGAGTCGCTGAGAAAAATATCAGGTTTATCGTTTGGTTGCATTAGCATTTTGTCCCAAAGAAGAAGGCAAAGAATACATCAATCATATTGACGGGAATTCCACCAATAATAAAGCATCAAATCTCGAATGGGTGAATCAAAAGGAAAATAATCAACATGGTGTGCATCTCAGACTTGGGAACCAACGTGTTGTTAAGCAATTTTTCAATAATGGTTTTTCCCGAAAATTTTCATCTTTAGCTGAAGCACAACATATAACTGGAATTGATAAGTCAAATATTGGTAATGTTTGCAAAGGACGTCTAATCCGTGTCGGAGGGTGTCATTGGAAGTATGTAAATGCTAATAAAAGTTGAATTATTCAATTAGAATAGCCCATAAATTTTCATAATCCATTTCATATTTATCTTCGTGATGCTAACGAGATCCTCAAAATCCTGGAATGAAAACTAGGTATTAGTTTGCAAGCTTTGAAGTCGTTTGCTGCGACCGAAAATAGCATACCTTTTTTGCGTAATTGTATTAACGTCTTCCGGAACTTTCTCTAATAATTCTATAATTTCTTCCTTCAAACGGCTTCCTTTAGTGAGTGTATTTTTTCTCATAACTGTTTTTGCTTAGGCTTGGATTTATTTTGCAAAATCCAGTGGAAAACTTATTTTTCTCTGATGTAGCATTTATTCAAGAAATTGTAAATTTTGCTATATAATTCAGCAGAGATATTTTGTTATTAATTGCTAATTCGTCACTCAGTAGTACAAAATGATCTGCAATCTATAATAAACTATGACGGAAAATTTCATATACTCATTACTATGTCGCAACAGTCTGTAAATCTTATCACAGAGGGCATTTTAGTTTCTAACTTACATTATGGTGTGTTTGTACGAAATTGGTGGGTTCAAAAACTATTAAAAATAGTAAAAATTATATTTTACCCATTCCTTATCGTCTATATTTGAGAGTCACCTGTGAACTTAATAATGAACTATTTACTCTTTCTGTTGTTCAAAGTATAACAAATCCATTGCAACCAGGGTTCGTTTGTACATGTAAAGAAAAGAGTACAGAAATTATGGCATCTGCTTCTGCAGCAATAAATACTTTATATCAAGAAATATTTTAACGAAAAACCGAGTATTCAGGACCAACAATAATGGGATTTTATAATAATAATATTGTAGAAAAATTAGTGGAAGATGTAATATTTTTTCCAATATTTATTAATGTTGAGTCATTTTTAATTGTAATAACAAGTATTGGTTATTCAGATAATAATGAATTTAATGGTGCAGGGAGTGAATTTTCTTCTTCAATTATAACTAAATTTCGGGGAAAACTATCTATTATTTTACAACAGATTAAAAATAATGTATGTATTCTTGATATTTATCAAGAATCAAAAAAAAATATTCAATATCAAGATGAAACACCAAATAATGTATGGAAAAAATCTAGAATTAATAAAAAATTTGATGGAAATGATTTATTTGGAATTACACATCCAATTATACAATCTATTTTACAACAACCTTCTAATAACCGTCATATATGTACACCAAATGAGTGGAATAATTTTGATATTCTTCAACAAGCATTTGATTATCATATAAAACCTAGAAAAATTACAACAACAATATTATTAGATTGGAAAAAATTATTTGATGACGGTTACTTCAAAAAAGTACAATTATTCAAATTCCAAAATGGTTACAAAAAATTTATCCAGATAATTATCAAATTTGTGAAAAAGAATTACGTGCATGTAAAGCTATATTCAAATCCTGTAGATGTTCTGATGTTACTTCATTTGAAAAGGATATTTCTGATATAGAATTTTGGAATAGGGCAATAGATCCAAGTAGTGATAAAGAAACTTTATTTTTATTTTTTAATTGAACTAATGTTGAATTATAAAAATTTAGCAAAGAATTTTCTGAAATTAAAAATAGTAATAATTTATTTTGGGAAAATTTTAGAGTTGTATTAAAAAATAATAAACGTGGAATAGATGGGAAAATTCGAATTTTATCTATAATAGCTGATAAATTTTGTTATAAAGATCTTAGGGAAAAATTACAAGTTTGTACCATATTATATTTATCAATCAAATAACTAAAATTATTTATATTTTTATTTTTACTTTATTATTCAAATATTACAAAATTGCAATAACTAATAAATTTATTTTTTTTTTTATAAAATTATAAATTATTTTTATAATTTAGGTTGGTTCAACAAGCATTAATTCAGCACGTAAGCATGCTAGACTTAATGGTCCAGGTGCATCACCTATTTCAAAACCTCAACAAACAGTTTATCATATGTCTGAAATTAAAGAAAAAGAATTTGAACTTTTTTTTTAAGACAAAAGCAATGTATCCATGAGCTCATATAAAGTAGATACTAAAACTAATTTATCAATATTATATTTACAAGATCAAAAACAAGCATTATGATACAAATTTGAAGAATTATATTCTAATGGTATGAAAAAAACTTCTTTTATAGCATGGTTAGCTAATTGTAACCATATAAAATATTGGGAATATTTAGGTGAATTGTGTTTAATATATAATGATTATGGATTCGAAGAATTTCAAAATTTAATGACAATTGCTTGAAATACTTTTTATGATAAAAAAATATTAGTAAGTCAAATATGTTTATTAAAATTCAATATTTTTAGTTATATCAAATAACTAATAATCTAACTTTTATTTATTAGGATAATGTTATTAATCAGATAGAAAAACTCAGAATGCATATGAACCGAAATTTTGAATGTGAATTGGTAATTAGCAAATATGAAACATTATCTCATTATGAATACATAAACCATTGTCTTTTATATGCATTTTGAGAGTGTAATCAGTATTATATTTCTTGTTGTATCAATTGCAATGAATTTTTCAATTTTTTCAATTTTTTATATTCACATATTTCTTTTGAACAAAAAAAAAAATTATTAGATCAAATAAAGGAGCAACTAAAATATTTTCTTTCTCATCAAGCTAGAAAAATATTCCTGAATGCTCAATTTAAATCATCTTTGGTACAATTGAGTAAAGATGGTGCTTTACTTATAGCAGACTACAAAATGAGTGTATTATCTAAGTCAGCACGTGAAACTAAAAATGTGTGTATTATCTAAGTCAGCACGTGAAACTAAAGAACAATCCTTTAGCTATTTTAATTTTTACAAAAAAGAAAATGAAATTTTCCTAGATGTTAATGCATGTAATCATTGGTCCACTGATACTAAAGAAGATGCCTGGTTTACAGCATCTTGTTTTGAAGCTGTTTTTGGATCAATAGAAAAAAAATTAAAATGGATACGTATTCTATCAGATAATGGTCCACACTATCATAACTCTGAATTAATGTCGATTATTGCTCATTGGTATGATTGGTATCAAATACACATATGTAGTTGGTTATTTTTAGAACCAAGCGAAGCTAAAACTACAATTGATAGTTATCATGCTTCGGTAAGCTTTATAAATTTTGTTATTATTTACATATATAAAATATTTTTATCAATTCATAATTTTTATTAGATCACATATGCTATAAAACGTTTATATTCGAATTGGGTGTGATATAAAAGAAGGTCAAGATATAGTAGAAACTGGAAAGAATATTACTGGAGCACATTTTGCAAACATTGAACCAAATATATTTGAACACGAAACAAATAATGATTTAGGAAAAAAAAAAACCTAAGGTCAAAACAATACCAGGGATTTCTAAATATTTTTATTGGGAATGGCCAATTGATATGCCATTAGAAGGTTACATTCAAGCTCGCCCACTTCCTCATATTGATTCATGAACACAATTTTCACCTGCTATGATTTCTAAATTATGTAATAATTCTATTGAACAATCACAACCCATGGTTTCAATAAATACTGATGCTTTTCAAAAGTAGACATTGTCTATGCCTCAATTAAATGGTATTTAAAAGTTATTTTTATTCTTAATTTTATATTATATTTTATTTTTTTTATACTAATATTATTTACAAATATTAGTTGATATCAATATGGAAGGTTGCTATTGATCATGGAAACCAAATGAATGATAAAAATACAGAAGGTAAATAAAATAAACGTTTTTAATTGGGCTGATTTTTTAAAAAAATTGGTTTATTTATTAATTGGAACGGAATGAAACTCTAGTATTATTATTATTATTTGCATAAAACAATTTTTTTCTAATTATTATTCTTTTATTCAGATGCTATTGATCACGATGACCAAATAAATAATAAAAATATGGAAGGTTAGTATCATTAATTAAAATAATAAATTACTTATTTATTTTTAGAAAATACTAAATTACTTATTTATTTTAGAAAATACTAATACAAACCAGAATTTACAAGCTATGCAAAAGTAAAATATTTACTATAAATATTTATATTTGAATAATAATTATTTTTTCTAATAATATTATATGTATCTATAGTTCAGTAGATAAAGATTTTCCCTTATCAAAAGAGTGGGCCCTCAAGTTTTTGGAGGAAAAGGAACTGGAAAAAGAATACAAAAGAAGTAAAAAATTTATTAGAAAAGTTTTTTTTAAATGGAAATTTAAATCCTCGAGACAAATTTACGGCACAGGAAATGCGTGACGAATTAATAAAATATGTAGAGTCTAACGAGATTGAAGAACAAGGCATACCAAAAGTTTCCACAATACAAGGTTGGATCAGCAGATATGCAGCTGTATTTAAAGAGCAAGCCACAGAAGCAGCACTTCGAAGTAATGCCCAAAATACTTCCTAAATAATGTTTATAAAAAATAAATAAAAATAATAAATTACAACAGTAAAAATAAAAAAAATATTTTTTTTTAGTTTTTATAATACAGAAATATATAAAATTTATATTTAATAAGAGTAATTATAAAATGTAATGCCTAACATAAGAGCCGAATTTACTAATATAAGAGACAAAATGCCGTTTTCCTACATGGTTAACATAAATAAAATTATAATGTTTCGATGGTGATTTTTTTTTTACAAGTATCTTTTATTAAAAGGATCTGCGTCAAAAGTACTATAAATTTTTGTACCACTGAGTGACGGAATTAGCAATTAATGTAAATCGAAAGCGAAAGATCACAAAAAAGATTTATTGATTTGTCGCACGTGCATGCGGAATTTGCATACTTATCGTCTGAATTTAATCATTACGTCATCTCATCTTTTGATTTATTAATAAAATAACACGCAATAACATTGACATCATGTCAAATTATTCTCAAGATGAAGAAAAACTATATCTAAATGGTTTTCAGAATTCGACCTCGCTAGGCACCGCTTGCTTGCGATCGATCGAAAGGAAGGAAGTCAAGAAGTAAACCGTATGGGAATTATTATTGACAAAGAAATATCACAAGAAACATATCTTAAGTTTTGTTTAAACGAACCTCGTATTTCTGTTAATTACTGTCTAATTGATGGAAAGATTGAAGTTTATGAAATGCCTACCAAACCTCATGCAATAGTACAAGGAGAATTAATTTATTTGATGAGAAGCTGGAGCAATCAATTGCAAGTCTTGGTCGAAAATGATATCGTTGTGAATACAAGAAGTGTCTATCGCTGCGACGCTTGTGTTGAACCAATTAATCGTCAACTACCTCAACCCACACAGGCAGGACAGTCATACCCAACTTTAGTAGTAGAAATTGGAAATGTAGAAAGTGTAAACAGTTTACATCGTAAGGTTGCGGGATATTTTTCCCCCCGTACCGCGATTCAAGTATATTTGACTATCAAGCTATTTCCTCGTCATCAGAATAATACTGTCGCATTACTTGCGATGCTTTATTTACGCAACAATCAAATTCCTGTAATCGTAAAATCATTTGAAACGGCAGGTCTACATATTTCTGTATTAAATTATCTTCGAAATACTATAAATGTTCCAGCCAATATAATTACTGGAGTTGGATTTGGTGCAGGTCCTTGCAATGCTCCTAATATCCAAGATTATCAAGTAGCCATTCCTACCAATTTACTTTTTGACGGTGTTCCAGGTGGGGTTCTCGTTGGTTTGCCCGCTAATTTCAATATAGATTTATTTAATTTGCAAACCGTATATTTGAGAACAATTGCTTTGAATTAGGAAAATTTCATTGCATGTAACTTTCATTTTCTTTCATTTTTCAATACAAAAATGTAAATTTTCTATGATAGTTAATTTTTTTCCTTTAATCTTTTTTGAAATTTATTTACTATCAAATTTTATTATTTTTTCTGTATAACATATAACATCTATAAAATATAATAAAGTAAATGCGATTAACGAAATTTGAGAAATTGACCTCCAGAATCATCTTTATTGCAACGTTTATATGACTATATACTATAAATCTGATATTATAACATACACATTAATACAGATATATTAAAAATGATAAACCCGATGTGGACATTTGAAAATTTTATCGAAAATTGATTCCCACGAATAACCTATAAAATTCGCAAGTGTGATATCTAGAAGATGCCTTTTGACTTCATCATATACACCTGCTCTTAGCATCAGGGATTTCTGGTATATTGTAGAAAGTGCTTCAAGTTGGAAGACTTCGGCATCGTTCTTGGAGGTGGACGAAGTTTCAGGTACTTTCTCAGTTGTCATACGTCAAAATATCCTCTCAAAGAGCCTGTAATAATTTGTCCCAACTCGAATTGGCATTACGTGTCAAAGATAGCGAAATTGAAATGGGAAACATGAAAAAATACCAATTGAGGGTAATTAGGTCGCACGAAAAACATGTGGATCTAACCTGTAAAGTATTTATTCTGTTGTGATCCAATTCTATCAATTTACTTGAAATAAAGTTAACCTCTTTTTGCAACTACATTCATTTTTCCTTTTCTTCTGTTTCAAAAGAATAATGAAGACAAATTGTACGCTCACAACATCAAATTTTATATTCTTTATGGATTATATCATTGAAATTCTTTTCTATAATAAATAATATTTAATTAAATATCATTAAAAGCACAGTATATATTAATATAATAAACAATATATATAATTAATATACTGTGATAATAATTAATATAGTAATAAACAATAATATTATTAATACAATAATAATTAATAATAATAATAGTAATAAATAATGCTACTAAAAAGCAATCAAAACGCATCAAATTTGAGATCTAAAAAAAACCCCCTTTAATTCACAAAAATTCACTTTCTCCCTCACTCTGTATCTATGTATATATAATACGTAACGTTTTCGATCATACCTATTTTTGCATACTTCCGCGATATCTAAATGATATTATAATAATAATAATAATTATTATTATTATATATATACATATAGATATATTAAAATTTTCCTATTTACATTATCTAATTTCTAGAATATATAATATACAGTGTGTTAAGAAAAAAATGGCAATTGAAAATTACGCAGTAATGATCATATGGTTGCACAAAGTCACACGAGATTTACACTGGTAGCAGCGATGCATTATATATCTTTATTAAAAAAAATTTAATATGAAATGGTTTCGCCGTTTTTTTCTAGCACCCCCTCACATCGCCTCCTCATTGAATTTACCAAAGACTTTAACATTGATTCGGGAATTTTATTCCATTCCTCGATCATATACCGTTCTATTTCGCCAAGATTTTTTAGCATGCGTTTTTCCACTTTTCGTTTGATAGATTTTCGATCGGATTTAAGTCTGGGCTACATGATGGCCAATCCATAACCACAGGAATATTTTCTCGAAGAAAACCCATGGCGAGACGACTCGTATGCTTCGGGTCGTTAGGATGGGAATATAGCACAAAATATAAACACACATTGTATTACCTTGTGATTAAATAGCACGAAGATCCAATTAAAATGGAACATGTTACACTGGTATAAATCACATGAAAATCTCTGCCATTTTTTTCTAACACATTGTATATTCACATACCAAGACCAAATAATTTTGAAATTTTCGCTTTACCCAATTTTGAAAGGCCCCACATCCAATATCAAGTACTACCCCTCGTTCCGGAGTATTATTACTGATCAATACACTTCTAACTCAAATTATTAAAGTTCCTAAGAAATATGATTTTGGATTCAAATCGTTTTTTGTTTTCCTTTATCTTCTACTATAATGATCCGCCACCACATGTTGCGGGGTTGCACCGGATTATAAAAAAAACAGTTCTTAAAGCACTTGATTCTGTTTCTTTAATTATTATTAGAAAATTTGCTAGAAATTCATGGATATATATTTTTATTGAATCCTGATTGGCTAAAATCGCTTACATAAACCAAGAAAATTTTATTTTCAGATTGCAGATGATATTATTTTATTTTCGAAAATTCCTTAATAAGTTTACTCATTTAAGGAAAACGTATACGTATAGCGATATTATTTAGATGTTTATTTCGTTCGTTCATTCGTGTTAAATTTACTTTTAAATTTAAATTCAAGCTATTCTCCAAATATTTTGATTACTTTACGTATTTAGTCATTTTTCTCCTTGATTTAATTCATTAAATCAAATTAAATTATTATTATTATATTTTAAAATTGAATTTAAATAAATATTATTAGATTTGATTATATTTAAAAAATTATTTATAAATCATCTTTTCTTTCCCTTCACAAAAACTAAATTCAAGTTATTAATGAAATCCTACCAAACAATTTATGCTGACGGTGTTCCAAAACTATCAGATGCAAAATCATACTTTGCTTCACTACTTGATCCTAATGTTCCACGTTTCATTCATAATCAAATTGTCCGTATAAGTAGTGATGTTGGTGTAATTATAAAATGTGAAGGTGGCTGTAGCACCTTATAATTCTTGTCCTTTATATTATGATTTCCTTTGAAAGAAAGTAAAGGACTTGAAGTTGATTGCGATGATATTTTATTTATTTCGTAAGTAATAAATTGGTTTATGGTAAATATTATACCAAACTCGCATCCTAAATTCTAAAATCATTCACTCAGTGTTTATTTTTCACGTGATTAATGAATAAATAACCAAGGTCTAGGATAAATTTACCCATTTTTTATTATTCGGAAAAAAGAAAACAATTGTAGTAATGATATACATATTATTATATCACAAGTTTGAAATATTACCACATAATTTCTTTACTTTTACCGAAATTTCCTTTTACATCATTTTAATCTGTATAAATGTATAAATATTGTGTTGTGTAATGAGATAAAAAAATATAATTGTCATGAATGGCATACTAAAAAACAACTTGCAATTTTAAATGTAATTTTTTTTTTTTTTTTTTTTTTAAAAAAAATAATAAATTTCTACCTTTCATACCATAAGTAAACAAAAACAATGACATTTAATTTTATATGCTCAGAATGTAATCAAGATTTTAGTGGACATTATTGGTGCAAACCATGTTACAAGAAACATTTCCAAAATGATTTTAATAATTGGACAAGTGGAAATGACGAAATAGATAAATTCATTCAAGACGCCCAATCAAATGCTAATGATTATTTGGAAGTAATAGAATGGATACCTTACGATAGATTTCAAGATATTAAACAAATAGGTAAAGGTGGATACGGAACAATATATTATGCTAGGTGGATTGATGGACCAATTAGAGAATGGGATATTGAAAATCAAAAATGGAGAAGAGATTGTGAAGAAGTAGATTTAAAAGTGGCATTAAAAAAGTATGATAATTTTATAAATTTAAACAATATTTTACAAGAGGTAAATATTTTAAATTTAAAATTTTCAAATTATTATATAACGTTTTAACCATAAATTAAAAATGTTTATATAGATGGAAATTCATTTAAGAGCACATACTATGGTTGCTTCAATTAGATTTCATGGAATTACACAAGATCCAGAAAC